CTATATTTGTAATTATTTGTATTTTTGGGCCCTTATCTATAATTTTCTAAATATTTTTATTTGATAGATTACCCTTTTTTTACTCAGATAGCAAAATCTTTATCTGGTTACATGATCTACCTGTGAGTAACTCATGTTACCCAGATATAGGTCCAATTCTTAATTTAGCATTAGATACTATTAAATGAGCTATTATTTGCTAAAAAAAAAATAAAAGCTTTCATTACTCTAATGTCAAGTGTGAAAATATTGGATAATATGCACTATTATATTTTACAAATAAGAAATAATTTACTAAATTAAGAAATAATCTTGTTTATTTTGATGAGATATAGTTGCTAATATCTAAAAAAGTCATTCTCTAGAAACTGAAGTTGTAAGGATTGCAAGATATTTGCAAGCCAATTGTGATAAAATAGGAAAGCTTATTTTATATTTTTGCTACTATTCTAATGGATCTATTTTTTTTGGTTCTTCAGAATAATTTAAATAATATACAATTTCATTTTTAGTTTGTTTAATACTTTCTGATCTATTATTAGTCCAAATTTCTGTAAATATATTATTATCTTTATCCTCAATTAAATTGTTTCAATTGTTTTTTTGCTTGATTTGAGACTATTGTATCTTGTTTATATTAATTATATAAATTTTTCAAAAGTAATTTAGCTTGAATTTTTTGCATATAGTCAAAGCTTTTTAAAAATAGAAAATTTTTTAGTCGTGAGTCCAATATTGTTGCTACCAAAGAGATTTTACTTGGTATTTGCCATAATTCATTTAAAGAAAGGTATAAACTTTTTAAATAAAATTTGTAGTATCTGTTGGAGGTAAATATTTAACTTTATTTGTATCTTCAATTTTATAATTTTTTTTCTTTTTTGTAATATGACTTCTTTTGTAACCACTATGACAATGACCAGATTTTTGCTTATGTTTTATTTGTTGTCTAAAATATTGATATGCATATTGCCAATGCTTTAAATTTCTAGATATTGAAATACTATTATCATCACTTATAGAACTTGAATCACTATCTTCTTCTATTGAATCTATTGATAACTTATAAATATGATCTAAATAATTATTAATTGTTTTACTATTTTTAAATTTTGAAGCAAATATTTGTTTAAGTATATATATATATAGATATATAATATTTAGTGTTAAATATTTGGTATCTAATAGTTTTTTTTTTTTGAATATTAATGGTGAGACCATATCTTTGACTTTATTAAAATTTAATTTATTTCTTTTACAATGAAAAGAAATCTTTACAAGAAAGAGAATCTATTTAAATTTTATATTTTAAGATAACAAGAAAAGAAACTCAGACTAGTTTATCTGTAGCCAAACCAACTAGGGTGGCCATAGCTCATCTAGATTTGTAAATTAGTAATTATATAGTTTAAATTTGTTTGATATTTGATCTATAAAGGATACTATAGTCCAATTTTAGCACTTGCAGTAGTAAGTAGTAGGGGTTGAGAAGACTGATAGATAGAAAGAGATGAAACTGATAAAGGGTAATCTATCAAATAAAAATATTTAGAAAATTATAGATAAGGGCCCAAAAATACAAATAATTACAAATATAG